TCTCTCTGGACGTGGATAGCATTTTTTATCCTAAGTCCTTCAAGGTTCTCTTAGATCATTGTATTGGTCAGAGTGACCAAATCTTTCACAGTTGATTACTCTTACAATATTGCTATTACTGTATACAATGTTCTCCTGGTTCTGCTCACTTCACTTGTATGAGTTCATAACATTCTTCCCAGGTTTTTCTGAAACTATCCTGCCCATCATTTTTTTTTTCCCTGCTCATCATTTCTTATAGCATAATAGTATTCCTTTATCATATACCATGACTTGTTAAGGTATTCCCCAATTGATGAGCATTCCCTCAATGTCCAATTTTTTGCAACCACAAAGAGGAGCTATTATATTTTCAAAACATTTTCTTAAGCACTGAGAAAAGAGGTGGAGAGACAGAGAGACAGAGACAGAGACAGAGAGAGAAAGAGAGAGAGAGAGAGAGAGAGAGAGAGAGAGAGAGAGATCATGTGTTCAAGGCTTGCATTCAAGTAGGAGAATATGACATGTACTCAGATAAAAATAATACATGCTGGGAAGGAATGGGTACAGGAGAGAGATCCAAACAAAATGCTCCAGAAAACCTTGATGGGGCAGGAGAGGGAAAGAACATCTTTAAGTTGTAGAGAAGAATGGAGATCAAGGAAAACTTCATGGAGGAGGTGGCACCTCCTTGAGCCTTAAAGATAAGGCTTCTGAAAGGCAGAGATGAGGACAGAGTACATTTCAGAAATGGTAGATAGCTTGTACAAATGCACTGAGTTGGAACATGGCCTATCATGCTTGGGGAAAAGGTAGTTGTCTAGTTTGGTTGGAATGTAGATACCATAGGAGTGATGTAAGGTGAAGGTAAAAAGTAGGTTGGAGTTATACTGTGGAGGCCATTAAATGCGAGACTGAGGACATTGTATTGAATCCTATAGGAAATAGTAGGCTATAAAATTTTTGAGCAGGAGAAATCACACGGTCAGGCTGATGGCTTAGGAAGACTATCGTGGCAGGTACGGGAAGGAAGATTTGGATAAGAAAGACTGAAGGTGAAAACAACAGTGAGGAGGCTATTATAACACTCTAAGAACACCAATGAAGAACTGAAATAGGGTTGTGACCTCATGTATGGAGAGAAGGGAATAGATGGGAGAGGGGACAGATGTGAGGGGTATTGTAAAAAGAGAATTAATAAGTACTGGTAAGTGATTGGATGGGGGGTGAGGGAGAGGACAATGTCAAGGATGCTAAACTATAATGCTTGGGCAGTAAGAAAATGATAGCATTCCCACATACAAAAACACAAATACACTAATAGGGACAGTGTTGGGAGAAGGGGTCAGTTTAGAGTGAAAGCTGATAAATTTTATTTGGAATGTGTTGAGTTGGCATGACATTTAAGTGGAGATATCATGTTACTAAAATTTAGAAAAGAGGTTATGGCTGAATATATGAATTTGGAAGTCATCCCCATCGAGGTAAAAATTGAACCTTTGGGAGAAGATCAAGTCACAAAGGGACAAAGTACATAGAGAAAAGATGGTCTTGCTCTTTTAAGTCCTGTGATGTCCAATCTCCTTTTCTCTGGTGAAATATTACCCATCCTTCAAGATCCAGCTCAGATGCTACCTCATTCCTTTTTTTTTCATATTAAACGTATTTTCACATTAATCATGTTGTAAAGAAGAATTAGAACCAATGGGAGGAATCACAAGAAAGAAGAAACCAGAGAGAGAGAGAGAGAGAGAGAGAGAGAGAGAGAGAGAGAGAGAGCAAGAGTGAGAGCGAGAGCAAGTAAATAGTATACTTTGATCTGCATATGTTCATATGGAGTTCAGACTCCATAGTTCTTTTTCTGGATGTGGATAGCATTTTTCATCATGAGTCTTTTGGAGGTGTCTTAGATCGTTGCATTGCTAAGAGGTAAGTCTTTCAAAGTTAGTACAATGTTCTCCTGGTTCTGTTCACTTCACTCAGCATTAGTTCATGTAGGGTCTTTCCAGGTTTTTCTGAAGTTTGTCTGTTCATTATTTCTTATGGAACAATAGTATTCCATTACATTCACATACCACAATTTGTTCAGTCATCCCCCAATTGATGGGCATTCCTTCAATTTCCAATATTTTGCTACCATGAGAAAGGCTGCTATAAATATTTTTGTACATGTGGGTCCTTTTCTCATTTTATGATCTCTTTTGGATACAGACCTAGAAATGTAATTGCTGGGTCAAAGTGAATGCAGAATTTTATAGCTCTTTGGGCATAGTTCCAAATTGCTCTCCAGAATGGTTGGATTGGTTCACAACTCCACCAACAATTCATTAGTGTTTCAATTTTCCCATATCTTTTCCAACATTATAATTTATGCTACCTCATTCTTAAAGCCTTCCCTGACACCTTCTGTTGGACATGTTCTCTTTTTCCTTAGTTCCCAGACAGTACTTTGTATCTCTCTTGCGCACTTATCATATTCTATTTTGAATTTCAGTTATCTGAATATGTGCCATATTACTCTGGTTAGACTGTCAGTTGCACAAGAACTAATATCTTATCTAAAGTTTGTTTCTTTTCCACATCTGTGTTCTGCACCTAGTTGGTACTTAATAAGAATTTTAAAAATTGAATCAAATTGAATTTATTTAATTCTATACATAACCCTCTAGCATACATTAGCATATTCTTATAATAGAAATAATAGTTCATACTTATACAGTGCTTTACAATTTACAATCCACTTCACTCCTGACAATTCTGTGAGCTAGTTGGTGTATTAGAGGAAGTATAAGGAGCATTCACATGGTCCTTTCAGTACTTGGAGTTCTACCAATAGAGGAGCTTGCAGAGTGAACAGTACTTTGGGTACAGTGGGCTGGAAAGTGTTGCTTTAGCAAAATTTTGTTTGAGGGTCTGGAATTTGACCTTGCTGTTAAAAAGTCCTTGTTATTAAAAATTGTAGTAACATTTCACTTGTGCATAGTGATCTATTGTTATAAGGAATTTATACACATATATATATATACACACATAGCATACATATATTATTTCTCAAAATGACCCAAACAGGTAGATAAGGAAAGTATTATTGCCTCTATCTTACAGAACCTTGGAGAGTTTCAGGGACTTGTCCAAAGGAATATTGCTAGAAAGCAAAGGAAGAGAATTCCACACGGCCCTGATGATTCTAAGTTCAGCACTCTCTCCATTATGCTGTGAGATAATGAATGCACTGCTCTGGATCCTATGCTTTAGAATATTAGTTAGGAATTTTCTTTGGGAGTGAGGCACTTAGCCTTTTTAAGTTTCACCTCACAAATATGTTCAGTGGGAAGAATCTTTCTTTATCTTGTGCCTTGGAGTCTTCAACATTGTGGGTGACCAAAAGAGCAAGACATTGTGAACAGGAGTACTAGAAAGAGCATTTTCATTAGTTTGAGTGTAAAAGAACCTGGGGTTGTCCTGTCAATGTATGACTTTGGGTAAAATGAAGGTTTCTCCCAGATGACTTCTAGTATTCTTGCTGGCTCTTAATCTAAGAAACTATGATTTATTTCCCACAAATAAAATTAGAGGTAGACTGGTCATGTATCAAGGTGGAGTCATAGCAAGTAGATAGACCAAGTGCTGCAGAGGTATCCATAAAAGAATGAGAGGAATGTCTCCTGTGTAGTGGGTATATCCTCCACAGAGAATTTATAGAGAAGAATAGAAAGAATCTCATAGGATAAGAAATTATGGCTTGCTTATGGCTTGGTTTTGTGTATGTCCAAGAAAGCAAGAAGATCATCTTTATATGTCCTCGAGGACCTAAAGCAGTGTTCAGTAAACAGCAGGCACTTAAATTGTTGGTGAGCCAATGAATGAGATTATTGTTTTATTTATTATTTTTATTATATTATTATTTGTTGTATTATTTATTATTATGATATTATTACTTATTTTTTTATGCCAGGGCTCTTGACTTTGTAGAAAACTTCCGTATTTGCATATTATTTTGCTTAGGCTTGAATGTCACGTTAGGGACAAAGTTAATTAATGCAATCTATTGCCACTGTATCCCAATCCATTATGCAAAGCATACACATTACACAAAACAGGAACGAATTTAAAATTAATCAATGTAATCACATCCCAAATGAGGGAGACAGAGAGAGACAAAGGCATAAATATACAGACCCCAACCATAGTGTGGAAGGTAGAGATTCACCCACACAAAGACAGAGCTTTGACACAAAGAAAAGGGGAATTGGTGTGGCTGAAGGGAAGGCGGCTGTTCACCTCCCCTCACTCCTTGCTGTAGCGAGGCAGGGCAGGGAATGAATAGTTTGGCAGAAGAGCTGCTGGCTGCATGTACCTGCCCGTGAGTGAGGGCGTGCAGATGCATGAGCGAGTGAGTGCCCTACATGTGCGCGTGTTTATGGAAGAGGGAGGGTACAGAGACCGTCTTTGTAAAAGGAAGCTGGCACAGAATGCCCACGTGGAAGGGTAGGGTGGGAGGCAGCACACCTTGGGCTTCTGATTCAGGTAGTCAATTTAACAGCATCCTACCCCTACCCTCACCCCCTGCCCCGCACCCCCAGCCTGCCGGCCCAGGCGCTGTCGTGCCCCTCGCCCCACACTTCTGTCCCACCTGCTCCCACCACATCTCCCCCAGCCAGCCTGGCGGATACTTGAGGGAGCAGAGTGTCCTTTTCAGGTGCTCAGACACGCACACGTTGCTCACCTCGAGGAGTGTGTGGCAGCAGGTCTGGGCTGCCCCACTTTTCCCAAGCCCCCCAAAGACTCAGCAGTCTCACGGGGCCCAGCACTGGACTCTCCCGTTCCAGCAGGGGCTGGAGGCTGGGGCGGGGGACTGGGGGATAGGGGAAGGGCGGAGGGGGATGCAGCCAACAGCCCCAAAGAGGGGGCGGAGCCTCCCCCGAGGCCCGTGACCGGATTGGCTGCAGGCGGCGGCGGGAGGGGCCAAGTCAGCACAAAATAGCCTGCGCGCTGGGAGACAGGCGCCACAAACTCTGCCCCTAAGCTTTAGCTTTCGAGCAGCGTTTAGTGGCTACAACCTCTTGCAGAGCTCCGGGAGCTGCCGCTGCCGCCGCTGCTCCTGCTGCCGCTCCTGCTGACGCTGCCGCCGGTCGCCCGACTACAGCGCAGCTGCCCCAGACCAGCCAGTCCGGCCCGCCTAGTTCGGTACTGCCCTTCCCCGGCCGGGGCGATGCGCCTGATCCAGAACATGTGCACCATCGCCGAATACCCTACTCCGGGCAGCAGCGGCAGCGCCGCCGCCGCCTCCATCGACTGCTGCCTGGGCGCAGTGTCGGGCCGCCGCCTGGTCAAGATCGCTGTCGTGGGGGCTAGCGGAGTCGGCAAGACCGGTGAGTCTTGTGCCCCGACATTCACTGCCGCTGCTCTTGCCCATCCCTGGGAGGGCGGGTTGTTCTGGCTACACACGGGGAGACTTCCTCCTCCGACTGTGGTTTGGAGAAAGGGAGTAATAACAGTCCATTTATTTTAAGGGTTGCCAAGCTCACTGTGACCAGGGAACTCCTACTGATCTCCTTACCTTACCCCTGCCCCCCCCATCCTTATCTTTTCTGATCTGATTTCCCCTCGCCACCTTTACCAGTCACCTGGATGGAATGGTGAAGTTGCTTTCCTGGTCCTCTTTAGAATGTGGGTACTACTTACCTGTTCAGGGTTGGTACAGCCCTGCCCAGAGGCAGGGGACTGCTCTAGATGGTCCATCCACCTTAGGAAGCAAATAATTGATGGTACCCTATTCTCCCATGTTGGTTCTGGTCTAGGATCGGGGTCAACGACCTTGCAGCCTTAGTGCAGAAATGGTATTTCACTTGGCCTCCTGCCGCCCATCTCCGGGAAAGCTATTTGCTAAGGCTGGGCTCACAGCCCAGGTAGTGGGTCTCGACTAGCCTGTCATTCCATGGGATAACCGGATTCCCTTTTTCTTTTCTGACCTACAGCACTGGTGGTACGATTCCTGACCAAACGATTCATTGGTGACTATGAAAGAAATGCAGGTGAGCATCTTATAACAGCTCCTCTTTTAACGGGAAAATGCTGGGTTTGGTGCCGTTATTGTTATGGGTTAAGTATGTCCTTCAAAAATCTGCAGTCTGTGAACGTCTTGACATTTGTGACTTCCAGCTCTTGCAAAATTTTGCTTGCCTCTCTTCACCCCAACCCCTCCCCATACAAACCTCTGCCATCTGGCCTCATTCCATTCTGGACTCATTCATCATTTTACTCCAAAAAGGATTCTTTTCCGCGGTATGTTTTAACTATTGGAGCCCCAGCAGGAAGTACTCTTTGTACTCAGCTCACTCACCAAAACACTCTAGCTAGAGTCATAAAAAGATAGCCTGCCCTACCCCCTGCAGAGCTGGCTTTTAGATTTGACCTTTTAAACCAAAGACCAAAGCAAAGTAGTTATAAACTTAAACCTATCTCATTCACTAGTAGTGTCTAAAGGAAAAAATAAGTATTACTTTGATTTTTCGTTTTTTGAGGAGCTAGCCTGAATAATTGAGAGCACACATTTTAAAATTCTTGTTATTAGAAACTTGAGTCCACTCACACACATATATACTGTTATGTGCACTCATACACATATCCAGTATGCTATTATGTTGTATTACAAGTTGGTGGAAACCTTCAGAAATATGTGAAGGGCCTATATGTAAATAATATACCAAGTAAGCTATAAGCCACCATAAAATTAGTCAAGGCAACCTCATAACTTGCTATTCTTGTGGCCATTGTTACTTTAAGTAATTATTTTAATGGATGGTGTGGGTTAACTATCCAGTGAATCTGTTTTGAGGTCAGATATGTTTAAATCAGAAGTGTTGCCAAGCAGTGATCCAGAACTGAAAAAACACATACAATTAGAAGACACTAAGATGTAGCGAGAAGAGCACCAAGTTCTCTGCCACTTATTAGCTGTGTCACCATAGGCCAACCACAGTCTTGTTAACCTCGGGTTCCTCATCTGTAAAATGAGGAGGTTGTAGTAAATGATCTCTAAGGTCTCTGCTAACTCTAATATTCTTTGATTTGATGATTTCCAGCAAGGAAACAGACTTAAGGAAATGCTTGTCCATGTATAGAAACAGTTTGAGAAGAGGTCAACCCTCTAAAACAAATGAGTTTCCTGTCATAAAAAAAACAGACCCTATAAATATCATGCTGTATTCTTTTGTTAAATACTGGCAGACTGCTTTGGTTTTCAGTTGGTGTCGATGAACTCTTTCAAGTGAAAAAAAAACCAAAAACTCCTAAGTCCATTAATAAGATTCTAAGGTGCTAGAGCTTTGGACAGATAGGTTTCTTTTCTTGTAGTTTTGTGTTATTTTTTTTTTAATGTAGTGGATTGAAAACCTTCTCAGAGACAAATAACCTTTTTTCTTTTCTTTTTCCCTTGAATAGGTAACCTTTATACCAGACAAGTCCAAATAGAGGGAGAAACACTGGCAATTCAGGTTCAAGATACACCAGGAGTCCAGGTGAGATCCTTTTATAGTTTCATAGACATTAACCATTTGATCATCCTTTACATCAAAGTGGCTTTGTCCTTACTCTAGCTAGCACCATGAGAAGAGAGGTTTCAAGCTAATGGAACACTGAGAGGATCAGTCACGACCTGAGGAATTCTGGGTACAGAATCCCCCCTCCTTTTACCTGTTACAGGAAAGAAGTCTAGTGTCTGAAATGGGGGAAAGAAGTTTACTCTTGTAGCTGAAAACTTCAGCATTAAAAACCAAATATATGGTTGCATTCACCAAGATTTAGAGTCAGTTTTATATTGTGGAAAGTTACTCTGGACAAAAGAGCCATACTAGTGGTATAGTGGGTTTTTTTTTTCTCTCCTCTCTCTTGAACTGGGCAGTTATCCAAGTTTAAATGCTTCCAGCTCATATCTTCACTTCCCCAGACTTACTGTCTAGCCAGCTAATTTCCCATTTTGTGGAACTACAAAGTCTCTCTGCATGTAGTACTGTGCAGGTCAATTTTCCACTTGAGTATAGCGAGCTGCAAGATTATTCCAACTTCATGCAGCTGGATCAACATATTCTTAAGAAAGCCAAAGTGTGCGGGAATATAATTTGTATTTATGGCCCTCAATGGTGTGAGTCCAAAGGACTCTTCTGACTTAGGCTTTAAGTTTACCAGACGAGGATTTCTTTCCTATTGAATGATTTTGCTTCATGATCCTTCTCTTTTTTAGATCCACGAACAAGGGTTGAGCTGCAACGAACAATTGAACAGATGCATTCGCTGGGCTGATGCTGTGGTGATTGTCTTCTCTATCATCGATTACAAGAGCTATGAGCTGATTGGCCAACTGCACCAGCACGTCCAGCAGTTACACCCAGGTGCCCGGCTGCCTGTTGTCATTGTGGCAAACAAGGCTGATCTGCTCCACATCAAGCAGGTGGAGCCCCAGCACGGATTGCAGCTGGCCAACATGCTGGGCTGCACGTTTTATGAAGTATCTGTCAGTGAGAATTACAACGATGTCTACAATGCCTTCCACGTCCTGTGCAAAGAAGTGAGTCACAAACAGCCCGTGACTAGCACGCCAGAAAAGAGGAGAACCTCTCTCATTCCTAGGCCAAAGTCTCCCAATATGCAGGACCTGAAGAGAAGGTTCAAGCAGGCCCTGTCTGCTAAAGTGAGGACTGTCACTTCAGTCTGAGAGCAAAACTTTTGAGAGAGTTTGGTCTTCCAAGAAAGTAGTCCAGACATTCCAATCCCGGTACTACAGGGTGTACGGAAGGGCTGAAGCTGAGCGGCCGAGGGGTCCTTCTGAACTGCTGCAGAAAGGGAAGAGCTGTCTTCTTAGCAGGAAAGAATTGATGAACCATGACAAAGTTCACGAAGTGGTTCTAGCACGTGGCCAGTGGGATAAATGCTGTTCAGAAGGGTTGGACCTCTCTGAATCAGTGAAATAATCTGTGTCGTCTTCCCCTCTCGGGTTGTGAGTGCTGTAGTGTCTGTCTACAACTACCGCCTTTGTAAAGAAGCTAGTCAATTGTAATTTCACAGAAGAAATACAGAAACACTGTGATGTACAATGAGACTAGGACAAGTTAAAGGAAAGCATTCCCATGCTTCTCATCACCTCTTCCCTCTTCCAGAAGAATGACCTTGCAATGAAAGTTTAACTTTCCAATGCTGAAGCACAAAAAAAAAAAAAAAAATGAAAATGTCATTCTAACTTAGGGGGCAACCAAATTCCTTCATGAATAAGGAGCAAAATGTTCTCTATGAATAAATACCACTGTTGTGTTTCTGGGCCTAAATCTTTTGTAAGACAAACACATGCATTTGTAAGCTTACACAAATGTAAAGGAAAAAATAGTTACTTGATTGAAATACGATGGGCATGATTCACTGGGTCCAAATGATGCAGTGGTTGAGTCTAATGCTTCAGCTATGGATATGTAGTAATTGTTAGTAACTGTCCTTTTGTTTTGGCATCAGGTGAAGAAAAAAAGTAGATATCATGTTCATTGATTTTGATGTGATTTGTATAATGGGCTCTTGGCGATGAAGTTGGCAGCCTTCTAGGCTTGGCTGAGCCATGACTGGTGGCTAAATGCTAAAGCACCATCTTGCAGTGAGCAGATGGGCGTGGGGGAGGTTATACAGCCCCCAAACCTATACAGATGCACTTTAAAAAGCCACGGGTGCTTTTGCTTAAACTGTAATTAATTTATTTTATGTACAATAAAAAGGTCATCTAGATGAACAGACTTCTGCCTTCAGTATCTTTATTTTCAGCATACTCTTCTGCACATCATTCAGCAAGAATACCTGACAATTTGTTTGCTAAGTCACATGGTAGAACAGAACACATCCTATCGTTTTCCCTCTTAGTTCCCCATGAGAACTTCAGGCAGGTGACAAATGTTTGGCTCCACCTTTTAATTTACTAAGATTCAACATTCACCCCACCAAAGGTAGTATGACCCTTTCTTAAGTCTATAGTTGACAGACTCGACCTAATCTCTGAGTGGACCAGATTTTTACAAAAACTCTTTGGAGTCTTTGTCCAATAACCTGTGGTTACTTCTGGGGTCCTTTCCATTCACACTTCCATTGATAGGACTGAATGTTAAACTATTCCAGGTCACTGTCTGTGTCCATCTCAGAGGGTGGGGTGGGTCTAGTGCTGCTTGAGGCTCTGCCCTTGGGGTGGTAATTCAGTGCTTTAGCAAAAATAGGTGGGCCAGAAGAGAAGAAGTTGGTATGGGGGGAAGTGGGCCATTCTTGGAATTAGAAAGACCTGAGTTCAAATTCTACCTTTGACACATACTAGCAGTGTATCCATAATGCAGATAAATGAGTCAGGAGAGAGGCCACTTGCTTAGTGAATAGAGGGCTGGAATCAGGAAGTTCTGGGCTCATTTGCTGCCTCTGATAAATGCTGCCAGTCTGTCCACCCTTGGGTTGATTAATGTCTCAGTACCAAAAGAAAGTCTAATACTGTAAGTTACAAATGAATTGCCAATCTGCATGGATGGAGTGACTTTCAGCACTCTGTTCCTTACACTGAAAGAATGCCAAGTCTGAATTCCTCCCACCAAAGAAAAAAAAAATGAGCCATTTTCATTAACGTTCCAACAAGTAGGTTTGGTAAGACCATTGGTTCCTATACAATGGCTGTCCTACCGCTCATGACGTGGCTGGGGATGATATAGGCATTTCTTTGTCTATCTGGGGACTGTATCTCTTTCAAGTCTACTTGTGGGCTTAAGTGCTGCATCAAAATAGCATCCCATTTCCAAAACACTAACAGGTATCATTAGCTAGCTATTTTAAACATTCACTTTTAGTCTTATCCATTCTATTTTGTGGATTAATGATGCTTTAGCAGTGAGAGTTTAATAATCTTCATATGCTCAACTGCACAGTCTCCTAACTGAACTATTGTAATTACACAGGGAAAAAAAAAGCTTTTAAGTACCAATTTTAGTTTTTATCTTGCAAAGTGCTGAGCAGTGCTAGGCTACAATTTGCTGGTGTTCTATTACCTCTCTTCTCTTTTCCCACTCATTCCCAAGTCTGATAAGAGCTGTATTCTTTGATCTCAATTTTGAGAGCCATCTAAGGGGCAGAGAAAGAGAAGATGGACCAGGAGACTGTTATCAGGATTCCTTATCATTCCTCATTAGTCTATTTCCTTATCTGCCATTAACTTTGAGCATGGACAATGGAAATCACTGCACTACATGGGCATGTACTCCCATCTGTAAAATGGGGGTTGTATACCCCATTTCCTTCTCCATTTCTTTTTCATTCCCTTTCCTTCCACCCATTTTTTCTTTTTAGGGATCTGGGAAATTCTGTTGGAAAATGCTGCCGTTTTGGAGAAGGCACTTAGAGAGGCATTATGGAATACTAGAGAAGTGCCCTGTACTAAGAATTAGGAGGATATTGACTCAAATCTCAGCTCTAACAGTAAGCTGAGTGACTATGGGCAAGTAATTGAACCTTTCTGAATCTTAATTTCTTCCCCTGAAGAACAGGGGAAAATAATACTTCCAATACTTAAGTATCAAGGTTTCTGTGTAAAACTGCAATATGTAAACACTACGGAAAGCTTAAAGCGTGGGACATTTTAATACAATTTTAAAGCTTTTCAGGCAGTCTTTCCTAGCTTGTTTTTTTTTTTTCAGAGCTGAAGCTCATCCAAACTCCCTGCCCCTGACTGCTTTTTCATCCCCACTATTTGAAATCATTTATAGTTGGCCATTATTGTCTGTATTTTGGGAATGTTGTATTAGCATTTTTTCTTCTCTTCATGATACTCTTCTTGGTATATCTTTTTTGCTATTATTCAGTCATTTCAGTCATATCCGACTTTCTTTTTCTTTTTTGTGAGGCAATTGGGGTTAAGTGACTTGCCCAGAGTCACACAGCTAGTAAGTGTTGTGTGTCTGAGGCTGGATTTGAACTCAGGTCCTCCTAAATCCAGGGCCGGTGCTCTGTCCACTGCGCCACCTAGCTGCCCCTCACATCTGACTCTTCATGACCCTATTTGGAGTTTTCTTGGCAAAGATACTAGAGTGGTTTGCAAAGATGAGGAAACTGAGGCAAACAGAGTTAAGTGACTTGCTCAGGGTCACAGAGCTAATAAGTGCCTGAGACCAGATTTGAACTCAGGAAGGAGTCTCCCTGACTCAAGGCTTGGTGCTCTAGGCACTATGGCGCCACCTAGCCGCCCCCCTGGTATGTGTTGTTTCTGATATACAACTGTCTGCCACTGAGGCACTACAGCTCCTTTCTTCTCCCCTCCTCATATTTCAAAAATGGTTTTGGTTCCCAGCCCTGACCCCTGGACAAAGCCCCAAGTCAGAAATCTCCTGGGGCAGTAATCTCCAGTGCCTCCCATGGACTAGCTTTCTTCACATGCATCTTCAAGTGCATATTCTCAAACAGAATCTCACATTTGTTCCTGCCTGCTTTTAACCTCTTGTCAGTCCTGGATCTGCCTCAGCAGTGGTTGTAACATCTGCTGTTTTCATTAGAAGGCTGCTCACTACCATTCCCAGATCACTAATAAAGACGCGGAAGCAGAGGAGGCCAAATCTCCCCTTCTGAGGAGTTGTACCAGACAGCTTGCCCCATAACCGGGTATGTGTCTGTCTTGATGTCTGGGATTTGAATTTTCTACCCTTCTTCAAATCAAAAACACTCATCACACAATGAAATGCGCAGAGTGCCCCGCCCTGTGCCGAGATGGGTAGTGTGTCCCTGCCTTCTGGGAACTTCTCATCCAAAGCATTTATGAAGAAGCCCTACTAAGTGTGGGAGATGTCTCTGACAGAAATGGTTCCTAACCTCTTGGTGTTTAGGATCTATGGATGTGCTTATACCAATGCCACTGTTTTGGTCCAAAAAATGTCTTTTTGTTCTTACATGGAAGAAGAAAAGCAAAATGTTTTCCAGGACAAATAATTGGGTTTGTGGGTAAATCCATCTCAAAATGAAAATCATCGAGTTAGTGGTCCTGTCTCTCCGGCTTCTGGGGTGCCTGGGAGAGCAGCCTAGCAGCTTTAATCTTCAGGAAACTCCAGAAAAGTCTTAGCAAGAGTGACCCAGAAAAGATAACAACGAATTGTTGATCTGGTTTACTGCGACCAACCCAAGAAAGCAGATGGTTTCTTCACTCTCAACAAGCAGAGCCTAGGCAGACATTTTATTTCTGGTTTTCCACCAAAGAGGTTCTATTTAATTCAACAGATATTTATTTTCTAATAAGTGCAAAGTTCTATGCTGGGTCCAGGGAACACAAATATAAAAAATAAAGCCATCTTCGTCCTCGGAGAGCTCACTTTCTCATAGGGAAATGTCACATGCGCAGAGAGAGGAATAACACCAGGTAAAATGTGATGGAAGCAGGAACAAGCTCAAGTACCCTAGGAGAATCTGATAAGGGAAAGGAACACATCTAGCTTCAGGGCCGCTGCATGTGATGTGGAGCAGTAACGTGACATGAGGTTAGAGAGGCAGGATGGAGCTAGCCTATGGAGATCTTTAAATGCCTGGGGAAGGAATCTGTAATTTTTCCTATAGTTCTCAGGGAGCCATGGAATGTTGAATTACATGAAGAATCAGAGACTCTCAGAGTTGTAAGGGACTTGAGTGGTCTTTTAGTGACACTCCTAAACAGGAATCCCTTCACCAGATGGTCAGAGAATCATTGTTTGATAATTTCCAGGGATGGGAAACCTACTACCTCCTAAAGTAGCCGCTTCTATTCTTAGGTAGCTCTAAATGTTAGGACGCTTTTCTTTACATAAAATTTAAATTCGCCTCTTGCAATGCTACCTATTTTTTTTTCCTAATTCTGCCCTCTGTGGCCAAGCAAAACAATATTAAGCCCCTCTCCATTTGGAAGTCCTTCAAATATTTGAAGAGAGCCGTCACATCCTCCTAAGCCTTCCTTTCTTCAGGTAAAATGCTCTCAATTCCTTTAACTGGTCCTCATATAGCATGAGGATCCTTCTTCTGGATACTCACCAATGTTCTTCTTAAAATGTGGCAGCCAGAACTTAATCCAATACTGCAGATGGCATCTGACCAGGGCAGAAGAGAATGGTACTCTCACCTCCCGAGGCCTGGACACTGTGTCTCTCCTGAATGCAGTCTGAGATTTCATTAGCTTTTTGGGTTTGCCATATCACACAGGTGATTCCTATTTTGAACTTGTGGTTCACTAAAACACTCAAATCTTTTTCAGATAGACTGCTGCCTGGCTATGCCTTCCTTATCTTGTACAGGTGAAATTTATTTTTTTGAACCTTAGGGTAAGAAACGGTCAGATGAGTTTTAGGAAGATCAGTTTGATAGTGGAGTGGATGGCGAGATGAAGGATAGATCTCTAATCTATATAAATGAATATATGTATGTATAAATATATGTATGTGTGTATATGTATATACACACACACACACACACACACACACACACACACATATATGTATGTATGTATGTATCTCAGGTAATTTTGTAACCAAAAGGGGAGAACGCATTTGCCACACTAGATTATTTGTTAATAGATAATTGTCTATAACCTGATTAATAAAATATTTGATGCAAAGAGAGTATTAGATGAGGGTTTTTTTTTTTAATAGCTCAGGCGTTCTCCACGCTAGAAATACTGCCTTGTTCCACAAGCCATGGTGATTGTGGCGCACCCTCATTGATCGGGTTATAAAGGACTTCAGAACACTCAGCTGTTTGCAGA